AAAAAAAAATTCATTGTATATAGGTACATTTTATGGATCTACTCATCTATTGTGTGGCATCTGGGCTATTTCCATATCTTGGTGAATAGTGCAGTAGTAAACATGGATGTGCAGGTGTTCTTATCATATTCTGCTTGTGATGTTCAAGGTAGCTGCCCAGGCTAATTATTTTTTTATTACTTTTTTTCTTTTTTTTTTACTAGTCCTGGGGTTTGAACTCAAAGCCTTCTAATTACTAAGCAAGTACTCTACTTGAGCTATGCACCTCAGCCCTTAAGGTTTTATTTTGTTTGCTTTTATTTTGAAATAATACTTCACAGTGCAGTCTAGGCTGATGTTGATCTGGTTATCCTCCTGCCTGTGCCTACTCAGTGCTGGGTTTCAAGCATGTACCATCCTGCTGAACATTGGTTTCTTTTAAATACTTGCCATCAGGATGGGTCTGGAAAAATGTCCTACATTCTTTCAAAAATTGCTAAGACAGAAGTATTATAGAGTTTACAACTAGATGAATGAGATTTATTCGTTGGAATAATTGAACAGGTAAAGTAGAAGTGCTGTAAAGAGTTGAGTGTAATGATGCACTCCTCCCAAGTTGTTGGGAGGCAGAGGCAGGGGACGTATCTTGAGTTTCGGACCACATAGGGAGTTGTAGTTATTATAAAATATGTTAAAATACAATTAATTGTAAAATATATGGCTTGTGTAGAATAGTCAAGAGAAACATCAAAATTGCTAAGTCTGTAAGTTGAGAAAAGTTCTGGTCTTAATAATGAGAATACTAGTGAGAATGGCTTTTATATCCAGTGTTCTACTGTTGATATGATTTATTATTATTTTATCCTTGATGCAGTAAGTATGTGTTCACTTACTTGGAAAAGTGATCTTTAGTTCTCATATGAGGGACGAGGAAATAATGTCTTTCAGAGGTCAGAGATTAAGGAGGAGTTACTTTGTAGGTGTGCTAGCACACTCCCCCCCAACTTGTTCTAAACCTTTATGTCAGCTATAGATTTATTTTTGATAATTATTTAGGTGATAGATGTGCTAGAAACAGCTAGATAGCTGTTTTCCTATATTAAGTAAGCATGAGGCAATTGCTTGATTTTTCTTCTTTTTATTTTTCCAAGGCAGTATATATTTGTTCTACCTTGTTCTAAAAATGATAAATGCAGAAATAATGTATAGGTGATGTTATGTAATGGTTTTTTTTATTTTTAGTTTTAAGAAACTGGTTAATTTGACGTTTCAAGTTAACACTGTACAGTAGGGGTGGGGAGATTCCAGCCCCTGGGCAATCTGAGGTCTGCAAAATCATTTCACATACATCAGGACAGACATGCTTCTTGTATGCTTCTCATGGCTGTGTGAGGCAGCATCTGCCTGTGGTGATCATTTTTCATGGCCTATGAATGGTGTTAAAAACGTCCAAGTAGCCCTTGGCAGAGAAAAGATTTTCCATCTCTGCAGGTATGTAAAATATATAAGGTCACTTTTACCTAATATTTTGTTGGTAGGATGCAGTCATTCATTCCAGGTGGTCTTCATTTTAAGCTCATTTAAGTCATACCATGTGAGTTTCTCTACTTAAAGACCTAGAAGCATATACAAACAATTGTTTTTTTCTTTCAACATTTATTTATGGGCTTATTTGTTGGATGCTGATTGATTGTTTGGGTTCCAAGATTGAACCCAGGTACATGTGTAAGCTAAGGAGGAGTCCCCAACTAAAGTATATCTCAAACCACAATTTGTAAGCAGTGCAGTGCAATGTATCAAGTACTAAAGTAGAGGTGTCAAGCAAAATCTTAAGGAGCTGAGAAATCATTTAAAGGAAGAAAATTAAGTATTAACTTCTTGAAAATAAGAAGTTTGGCACTTTTGTAAAAGAAAATTGAGCATTGAAAATGAAGAGGATTTCAGTGTTGAACATGCTTTGATTCCTTTCTTTCTCACATTCCATGTCTTCTCTTCTTCTTCTCTTCCTTCCTTTCCTTTGCCCTTCCACCTCATTTCCTCTTTCCTTCATTCCCCTCTTTTTTCCCCTCCTCCTTTTCTTCCTTTCTCTCTCCTCTCTCAGGGCATATATTCTATATTGTCTTTTTTTTTTCTATATGTGTGTGTTTGTTTCTATATCTGTGTTGGTCTGTCAGTCTGTCAGATCTGTTTCCTGAGTAGCCTGGATTATAGGCATAAGCCACTGTGCCTGGCTCATAATTTCTTTTTGGTAACCATTCCAGTTGAATAAATGTATCTTAGATAACATTATGTTTTAAACTCATAAGATTCCGTTGAATACCACCTATTGTTGTATAGTTCTATCCGTATTTGTTTCTGTAAGTGATGCTTTTTTTTTTTTTTTTGGTCCGGTTGTGGGGCCTGAACTCTGGGCCTGAGCACTGTCCCTCAGCCCTTCAGCTCAAGGCTAGTGCACTACCACTTGAGCCACAGCGCCACTTCCAGCTTTTTTCTTTTGCTTATGTGGTGCTGAGGAATTGAACCCAGGGCCTCAGGCATGCAAGGCAAGCGCTCTGCCACTGAGCCAACTTCCCAGCCCCTAAGTGATTCTTTTTTACCAGATAGTAACCTCTTTGCAAAAAGAATCTTCTCTTGGTTTTGAATCTCCCAAGTATTGACAAATTATTTAGCTGATACGAGAATTCAATAAATGTTGGAGTGAGTGTATTTTCAGTAATAAACACTCTTTTTTCTTTATTTTTCCTCCTTTTATTGTCATTCCCTCTGGTCTTATGTGTAGCACCTGAGTCAGCTATCTTATGCCATGAAACTGGTTCCTAAATTGGTGGGTGGCTTGGGCGTTCTCTACGTTCTCAGATCTTTATGACACATATGCTCTCTTGTCTCAAGTGTAGGTATGTGTACTTGGATGATTGCTTTAACCAATGAAAATGCTATTTTATTTTTTTCTTGAAGGTTTGCATTGCGATATTTCAAGGACACTTACCCAGTCTTTCAAAGACTCTTCCTAGAGAGTTCAGATGCTAATCCAGTCCGTTACGGGCGTAGGAGGATGAAACTCCGGGACCTAATGGAAGCAGCCTACAAGTTTCTACAGCAAGAGCAGTCTGTTTTCCGGGAGCTCTGGGACTGGAGTGTTTGTGTTCCTCTCCTCAGGAGCCATGACACCTTGGTCCGCTGGTGGGTAGCTATTGGACTTTTCCTGTGCTGCTAGTGGAGAGGTATATGGAGGGCTATATGTAGTTGTGTCTGGGGAGAACAGGACAAGGAAAACATTTTAAATTTGTTGTTTTTGTTCCTAAGAATATTAGTCATACTTTAGAGAAAAATGAAATGATTTGAGTGAAATTTTATTTTATTTTATTTTATTTTATTTTATTTTTTGGTCCAAGACAGAACTTAAACTTGATATCTGATGCTTTTGCTCATTGGCAAGCACTCTACCATCTGAGCCCACTTTTAGCCCCATTTCATGGTTTTCTAAGTTAACTTATTGTGCCTGATTTTTACTTTATACTCTTTTTTTTTTCTGGTGCCACTTGAGTGAAGCCTCCAGTTGTAGTACTTGGTTGTAACAAGGTTTCTTTTTGTTTTTATTGATTAGTTTTCTTAGTAGTCAACTACAGATAACCTGTGTTTATTTACTTATTTTTATCTTTCCAGGTACACAGCTAGTTGTCTGGCTTTAGTCACTTGTATGAATGAAGAGCACAAGTTATCTTTCCTGAAGAAGATTTTTAATAGTGATGAATTGATCCATTTCCGGTTGAGGTAAGCAAGAGTTCCCTGGGTCTAGCTGTGAGCTTTTTCTGCTATAAAATAATTGATGAGACTCTTTCCCCTCAGGTTATTAGAAGAGGCCCAGTTGCAAGACTTAGAGAAAGCCTTAGTTTTGGCCAATCCACAAGCCTGCCTTTGGCGTAAGGAGAATGAGCTACAGTATTTACAAGGACATGTGGTGTCAGCCGACCTCTCCTCTAGGGTGACAGCTGTCTGTGGTGTGGTGCTACCGAGGCAGCTGCCAGCCTCTGGAGAACAGGTATGTTGGACTTAGTATGGGAATACACTCCCTCTCTGAATCCTGAGTTAGTCATATTGTGTTTGCTGAATTTCTGCTCTGTATTTAGAACTGTTCATGGGGAAATTCACTTTGAGCCCTCTTCCTTAGTATTCCCTTTGTTTCTGTTTAATATGAAATTAGAAACTAATGATGCCTTAACCTGTGTTGGGCACAGTGATGCATATGTGTGCCGTGGACCGGGTTCTGTCGGGACGACGGAGGACACCTAGGGGAGGAACCTGGAATAGGATGGGGAGATGGCAAACAGACAACTCACACACATTAGGAGTGGATGCTGAGTGCTGAGTGCGATTTAATGCAGAGGATAACAAACTTTTATAGCAAAAAGTCTCCATAAGAAAGGGCAAAAGGTTACACAATCTTGCTGCAAGGCTTCGTTCTTGGATGGTCACCAGCTGGTCGCCTGAAAGGGCAAAAGTTTACACAATCTCGCTGCAGGGCTTCATTCTTGGGTGGTCAACAGCTGGTCGCCTGAAAGGCACTTGTTTCCGGCTTATCTCTAAGAAATATAATGGGTTTCGATGTTTGTCACCATCTAACCATTACCTTATTTCTATAGAGGCCTTAATTGTCCCATAAGATCTTTCCTGTTCCTTCTTTAATAGTAAGGTCATGGAGGCCTAGATCTAGGAAGTCTCTTAGTAAATGAAAGAGAGTAACAGGAAGTTCTTTCTCCTAAGTAATTATCTCAGCAATTGCCATACATTCCTTCTGTTCTAGTCGTCCTACAGCTTCTTGTAAGTCTCTTACAAACAATTCCTTCTGCTGAAGTGACTTTGTGAAACTCCCAATACTTTTATATTTGCTTATGGCTTGTCTACTAGCCTCCATAAGAGGGGTTTCAGGGTAGCACATAACTCTGGTGAGTTAGTCATATTTTTAAGACACTCATCAGATATTGGAGTTGTCAACACTCTTAAGAAAGAGCTTTGAATAAGGGAACGTTGACAATGAATAAGTACGATGAACAGCAGAAACAGTAAAAGATTAATAGGCACTCTTATACAGTGAGGAAAAGAAATGCAGAAACACATCTTTCCCAGGGGTTTGCCAGCCTTTTTCCAGGAGTAGGCCTCTTAGAAGCCCTATTCTCCGAGGTAGACTTCGGTGAAGTCCCAAAACTTGGAGATAGGTTTTTGTAAAGCCCCATTCTCTGAGGTAGACTTTGGTGACGTCCCATAACTCAGAGATAGGTCTCTGAAGCCCCTATCTTGGTCTGATAGATGGTTTCCCATACTAAGCAGACTCCACTGGAGTCGGCGTGGCATATGTGTAGTCTTAGATTAAGTCAGATGGATTATTTGAGGCCAGCCAGAACAACTTAGAGAGAATCTCTAGCTCATGATGAAACAGTTAGTATGTGAGAGTCCCTGAATTTGCTTAATAGCAATGCTAAAACAATCTAAATCAGAAGAAAAAAACTTTAGTATATCTCTTTGTTTGCTTGATATGGACAGCCCTATGAAGTTAAGTAGCACATGCTTTTATCTTTTATTAACATAATATAAAAACAAGATAACTTGCCTGGAGGCACTAGTACTATTTTGTGCCAAAAGTAAGACTACACATAGATATAACTTCTAGCTCTTTTCTCTACATTTTAGATAAAATCTTGGAAGTAGCTTTAAACTCAATCCTACTACTTCAGCATCCTGAGTACTGTAATTACCTTGGGACAGCACCATGCCCAGCTTCTTTACCACTTTTTCTGTCAGTATATTGTCCTTGCCCATTGTGTGGGAAGCTAGAATGTGAATATATATGGCTCCACTCTATGCTCAAAGTTTATAGATTATACATTTAAAACCATTAAGAGCCAGTCTGTTTTCCCTTAGCATTCTTCAGTTATCACCACAATTGTCACTTCGATATTCACCCGCTTTTCTCGGAACACGTCTTGGGTCACTTAAACCATTAGTTTCTGACTAGTGCTTTTTTATGGAAGAAAATTAAAGGGAGATACATAGAGGAAAACATACTTGTCAAAAGTGTTTTTAGGGCTGAGTATGATAGCTCACATCTGTAATCCACTTCTTGGACAGCAGAGACTGGAAGATCAAAGAGAGAATTTTGTGCCTAAGACCAGCTCCAGCAAAGTTCTTGAGCCCTTTGTTAAAAATACAAACATAGGGTTGGGAGTGTAGCGCAAGTGGTAGAGGACTTGTTTAGCATCAGTGAGTTCTTGGGTTCCATCCTCAGTACTGGAAATGAAGGATGTGTTTTTTAGTGCAGTGATTACTTATGAACTGAATATATCTGTCTATATAACCAGTACCAAGAAACCAGCACTTCAATAGTCTAATGACTGCTGTCAATCCTACACCTTTCATCCCATGTCTCTATCCTGTAACCACTATTATATTAGTTTTGGAGCTTTAGTTAATATAGTAAATGGTTCTGAGTATAATGGTAATTCTGGTGTTCAGAAGCTACATAGCTGCTAGGGAAGAAGCACAGAATGTACATGCTTCCCATGAAATTACTGAGAGCAACAACCCTGAGGAAATTTCAAGAACATCCATCACCTTATCTTAAAGGGGTCAAACCATAGCCATGTTTGGGAAATTACAGCCTCTTTTAAAAACCTCTTAAATTACAAGCTGTTATAATAGGGCTGGGGGTATAGCTCAGTAATCTCTAGCACAAAAAGACCACCATAGAAAAATCATTAGCTGTTCCATTTTTTTCAAAAGATCTTCTACCACCATGTATGTTACTTTATTATTTAAAAATTAATTGTAATAATTTGCACATGATATTTACTATTACGATTAAGTTAATAAGTGTTCACATTTTCGTGCAACTAGTATCTAGAACTTTCACTTCCTGTGAAACTGAAGCCCATTAAACATACTACATGCATTGTTCATACTTTCAGCTTTTTGAGATAGAAAATATATTCAAAGTAGAAAAGATTGTTGATTAATTCCTACACCCAACTTCAGTCACTTAGCAGTTCATGACTACTTCCTTCATCTGTATAGTTTCCTTTATTATTTTGAAGCAAATTTCAATTTATCTTAGTATTTATTTCCTAAAAGACAGAGAGAGACTGAGACTGAGATTTCAGACTGGGCATATAACTCTTGTATAGTGCTTATCAAGCATGTTCAGATCTTCAGATTTGATCCTTGTCAGGCAATACAAAAGCAGAAAAGGACTTAAGCAATATACCTGGGCCTTGGGAATCTACTAATTTAATAATGTGTCCTCAGTGTCTGTTTCTTTAATTATCTCATTAAGGCATGTGTCCTTTTTTTCCTCTGGGGTTAGTATGTTTGTGTGCCTGTGCTAAAGATCCGACCCAGAGTCTTGTGTATATACTCAGCCCCTATATTACTACATTTTTTCTTTTTTTTCAGTACTGCAATTCTGGCTCTAAGACTCAAAACTTGCTAATAGGTAACCATTCCAGACAGGCCCCCAGCTCTAGATGTGAAGTCCTAGAACATGGAGAGAGGAAGAAAATAAAAATCACCAACTTTAAAGTTTAGTGTCTCCTTACACCCCACCCCACCATCCTGCCCCAACTTTTTCCCCCTTAGTTGGTAGTGGAATTTGAACTCAAGACATCCTATCATTTGAGCCCCACCTCTAGTCCTAGCATCTTAAATTTTGGAAGCTATTTTTCTTAAATTTGTTTAAAAATCTGACTTCTCATTCTTCAATCAAAAAGTGAAAGGAAAAATTCTAATCCTTACCTGTTATGATAGCTTAAATACTAATTTATTCATTACAATTTCTATAAACGCGATACAAACATTGTAGGAAGTAACCTGTGTCCTTTCGAAGTTACTTACTGAAATACTTTCCATTTCTCACTTGTCGTCTTAGGCGGATAATAGGAGTTCTTCACGTGAACAGAAACTGGCCCTTTGGTCGTATGTGTTGGTTGAATCTGTCTGCAAAAATCTTCAGACCTTAGCTATGGCAGTGGCTTCTCATCGTGCTGTGTTGTTGGAAGGACCAATTGGATGTGGCAAAACTTCCTTAGTTGAATACTTAGCTGCAATGACAGGTAGAAGAAAGCCTCCTCAGCTTCTCAAAGTCCAGCTTGGTGACCAGACTGATAGTAAGGTAATTAAGAATGGCAGGTGTTGGTGGTTGGCATGCTTGTACATACTGGTATTCAAATGTTTCTGCTAATGGAAGATAGTTATTGTTCTTGCTCATAATTTTTGAGACAATCTATAAACCGAGAACCTATTTTTTCCCTATTGAAGTTTAACAGACTTAAGCATATAGCTTTATCAACTCAGGTGTGTGGTTTCATGAATTGCTTTTACAGATGCTGTTGGGGATGTATCGTTGCACAGATGTTCCTGGAGAGTTTGTGTGGCAGCCTGGCACCCTGACACAGGCAGCCACAAAGGGTTACTGGATTCTTCTGGAGGATATTGACTATGCCCCTTTAGATGTGGTATGTCATAGTGTTAAATTGTGGCCCCTGAATTTTTTTTTTGGAGGGGGTGGGATCTGGTTCCAGGATTTGAACTCTTGCTCTCTCAATTGGCTTATTACTCATGTGTTCTACCATCTGAGCTATGCTTCCTGACCAGTATTTTGCTGGGTAATTTATAGGTATAGTCTACCAGGCTTTTCTGCTTGGGCTAGCTTTGAACCTTGACTTTCTGGGCCTTAGCCTCCTAAATTACTAGGATTATAGATGTGAGTCATTGGCTCTTGGCTTGAAAATGTTTTTCCTTCTTTTTCTTCTTTCATTTTTTCCCTTTGCCTCCTTTTTCCACATCTCCTGCTTGTTTTTTTTCTTTTTTCTTTACTAGATTTTAAATACACAGCCTTGTGCTTTCTCTCTTTTTTGGGGGGTTGGGGAGCACGTTGGTCATCAGGCCTGAACTCAGGGCCTGGGCACTGTCTCTGAGCCTTTTTACTCAAAGCTAGCTTTCTACCACTTTGAGCCACAGGGCCACTTTGGGTTTTCTGGTGATTAATTGGAGGTAAGAGGGTCTTGGACTTCCTAGTCTGAACTAGCTTTAGCCCAAATCCTTAAACTCTTAAATAGGTAGGATTTTAGGTATGAGCCGCCAGTGAATCTACTGGCATATTTTTCACAGACCAGTGCCTGTGAAATTATCCTAATTATCTTTGCTTTGTCAAGTGTCCATGCAGTGTCACTAATTACATACCTAATATTCCAGCACTTAGGAGGATAGAAGAAGAGTTCTAGGCCAGTCTAGGATACAAAGTGGATTTCAGTCCAGCCTGAGCTATATAAATAGACTCATCCCCCCAAAAACCAAAAAGCATCAGACAAAATTCATATCCAATGTTTGGCAGTCATGGGATTATAGAAGTTCACAGAGAAAAAACTAAATTGAATAGGTATGGTAGTCCATGTCTATAATCCCATCATCTTAAGTGCAGAAAGGAGAGACATGGCTTGGGTCCCTAATTTCAAATGCTGGGGGGGGGGGGGCAGTGTGGCTGAAAGGGTAGATTCACTGGGAGCTCACACCAGTAATCCTGTCTACTCAAGAAGCTGAGATCTGAGGATTTGGGCTCAAAGCCAGTTCAGGCATCAGAAGTCCATGATAAGCTCTTACCTAATTCAACTTAAGAAAGAAAGCTACTTAAGCCATGCACAGTAGTGTGTGGTGGGAGGGGGGGAAGGGGACTAAGGCAGTTAGATCACTTGAATCTAGGAGTTTGAGCCTCAGCTCAAAGTGAGTGTTGTATCCAGCACCCTGTCTTAAAAATAATAGCGCCAGTTCAAGATGTTCAAGTAGATTCTCTTCCACTCTAAGAATAGCTTCTTCTGACATTCATTTACTAAGCCAGAACCTAAATGTATCTTCTCTCATTTAGGCTAATGTCCCTTTCTGTATTTATCTCCTCTGTCTACATAGTGGTCTTCTGATTCTATTTCTGTTGTGCTTTTGTTTCCTAACCAGTGTCTTTTTAACCTTCTTTTCTCCTGATTATGCGCATGTTAGATTAGTGCACATATTACTACACAGTTGAAAATGTCGTTTTTAGCCTGATATCCAATTGGTTTCAAATTTTTAGCGTAGCCAAGAGACTTTTTGTCATCCATCTAAACCTTCCACCTTTGTACTTCTACACTATTACATCCTTTACCTACCATAACAGAATTTCTCATCTCATACTACTAGGTGTATAAACTTTTATGTATTTAATTAATTTTGCTTAGATTATATATGCCATATTTGGCTAATTAATATTTTTAAGACTCAGCAAGTTCTTTTTTTTAACTTTTGAATTTATTTCATGACCCTGCTTTTTAAAGCACTCTGTTCAGATTCAGAGCCTTGCCTATCTTCACAAACAACTTTGTGGTACTTATAATTGCCGTTTGCATGTCTTGTCACCTCCCAGAAGACTCCAGTCTTGTTCATATACTTGTGTCTTGTTGGTTCTGGTTTACAGTAAGCACTCAGTGAATATGGAGTGCTTGAATGTAGGTGGCTCAACTTGCATTTGAACTCAGCTTACATTTGTCTCCATTTTGCACGATGAGAACTAGAGTTTCTTCTAGAACTGTTTCTGTCATTTTGAGAAAGAATTGTTTTGTCTTAAGTTCTGTCTTTATGGTGGTATCTGAATGGGTTTTGTAATTTAGGTTTCTGTGCTGATCCCTCTCTTGGAAAATAGAGAACTTTTGATTCCTGGCCAAGGTGACTATTTGAAGGTGGCTCCTGGCTTTCAGTTTTTTGCAACCCGGAGGTATGTGTTATTATCTTAATAAAAGATAGGTTTTTTTTTCTGTTTAAAAATGAGTAAGACTGTAAAATATTTTATATTGTTTTCATACGTAATAACTATTGGTAAGATTATTGCCAGCCCTGAGTTTGAGTGCTGACCTGTACCTTTGAATACCTTACCTGTCTGAAGATGATGGTGCTTATTTCTAACGATGTCTATAAAGATGAAATGAAGAAACAAGGCATTAAGGAGCTATTACATAATAAGCAGCCAATTAATGCTGGCTATGATTATGGTAAACGTGTAGATAACAGTTTTTTAAAAACCACTGAATGTAAGCATGAACAAAGGAATAAAGACTAAGCAAATTAAATATATGTTTGTCTACATATTACAATAATAGCAAAAGAGAAGTTTATTTCTTACTGTTTGTTTACCTTTGTGTAGTTCAAGTTCTTAAAATCTCCACTATCAAAATTTGATCATTTTATTTTTAGAATTGTATTTGTGTTTACTTTAGTAAACATTCACTCCTAGATGGAGTTTGGATCTAATGGGACAATTTTCAATAACCCATTTGTAGATCTTTAACTTTTGTGGTTCTAGTGCTAAGGTTTGAACTCAGAGCCTCAGGCTTGGTAGGCAGGTACTCTACCACTGAATTATTTACTACTAGCCACTCCTATTTTGTAGATCTTGATTGTGTTTACAGAGATAATGAAGTTCCTCCCTACTAGATTCATGCATTTCCCAGAAAGTCCCATGACATCATGGAAAGATACTAGACAAAATTGATACTAGAATTTGAATTCAGCTTTAAGATGTGATTTGTAGTCTAGTTGAGTTAGCAAGGCACATTATTTTCCTTCTTTTCCTTATCCATTTGAAAAAAAAAAGTCCTCTTCCTTTCAGGACAATTGTGATGAGGTTATAATGGCTTATAATATGAATGTATCTGTAGCTTGTCCGTAATGTAGAATTAATGTATTCTTTCTCCTTTTTCTGGAAATTTTTAATAATCTCAGGTCTAAAAGCAATAAAAAAACAGTAAAGTATCCTGTTATAGACCTCGGATAAGCTACTTGTGCTTAATGGAAGAACATGTCACTAATGAGATTGAAATTCTTACCTCATGAAATCATTTGCAGTGACTTGAAAATAATTTGAAGCTTTTAGAAAATAGTAAACTATGGGGGAACAAACCATGGACCTTTAATAATTTTTCATCTGATTTGTAAATTCTACACAGTTTCTAGTACCAAGAAGAGATTGTTATTCACATATGAAATAATGTTCAACAAATGATGACACGTATCTATAGTGGTTTCCCTCCCCTCTGATTTCCTATTCCATGATTTTAATCTTAATGGTCAATGAGCCCTCAATTTATTAAAAGAAATATCCCGAAAATTAGTGATTTATATGTTTTAATAGCTTTTGTTTCAGGATATTGATATAATTGTTTTATGACTAGATTTTGTTGTTATTGTTCTTGCTATTTTGAGACAAGTTCTTTCTCTGTAGCTCCGACTGGCCTAGAACCTGATATCTTTCTGCCACAGCCTCTCCCAACAGTTTGGATTCTCGGTGTGTGTTCACACACCCACCTTATGATTTATTTGCAGTTGTTAACTTCTTCAATGTGTCTCATTTATAAGATATACTCGTCTTTGGTAACTCTGTATAAGCTAAAATACAGACTAAAACACTGGTTTCAGTCATCCACTGTAGGTCTTGGCGTCGATCATGAATAAGATGGATCTGCTGTGATTGGAGATTAAAACTAAAAATTTTGTGTCCCTATTTCTCATTCTTATTTTGAAATGTAGACTCTTGAGCTCTGGAGGAAATTGGTATCGGCCACTTAATAGTCATGCTACTTTGCTGGACAAATATTGGACTAAAATTCACCTAGATAATCTGGATAGGAAAGAACTGAATGAGGTATGTGGTATTAGAAAATATTAGAACTTTTCATTATGAAAAGTTCCAAACTTAAATGAAAATAGAGAAAAAAGTACAAGATGAGTGTCCCTTCTCTAAAACTTCAAAATTCCAAATGCTTATAAACGTTTTTGAACACTGACATGATACTACAAGTAGAATATGCCACATCTGACCTTTGTGTGTTGGGATAGTCAGAATGGGACACATTAAAATCATTGTACATATTACTTTAAGTATCTATGAAAATAGTGAATTTTATGTGTTTATTTGTTACTTTATTTGCCTCGTTTATTTTTTTCCGACAAATATTTAAGCATGCATCCCTAAAAGTTCAAATGTATTAAAGAACATTTTATATATAAACAGATTAAGAATAATATGGTCAGTAATTTTTCTGTATCCTTTCACTCTTAGATCATTAGACCATATGTAAATTTTTCTAATTTTCTTCATAGGTTCTTTTTTTTTTTTTTGGTGGGTCGTGGGGCTTGAACTCTCGGCTTGGGCGCAGTCCCTGTGCTCTTTAGCCCTCTAACACTGGAACCACAGCGCCACTTCTGGTTTTCTAGTGATTTAATGGAGAGAAAAATCTTATGGACTTTCCTGCCCCAGCTGGCTTTGAATGGTGATCCTCAGATCTTAGCCTCCTGAGTAGCTAAGATTACAGGCGTGAGCCACCAGCGCCCGGCTTCTTTTTACTAAGATTGACTTGGCGCTAGTGTCTTTCCCAGTTGACAGTTTAACATACACTTTCTTCTGGGAATCAATAAGAATTGAGGGGAATTATTTAATACATTGCTTTTGCATACTGTTATCCTAGATTAAGAGATACTCCTACTTTATAATGCTCATACTTGATCTCCCTTTCTACTTTTACCTTCTCCATCCTGTTTTTTTTGGCTCCCTTATCAAATATTAGGTAGCCATAGTTCTGTGAGTTCATTTCTACATCTTCAGTTCTATGCCATTGGTCCTCAGCTTATTCTCATGCCAGTACCAAACTGTTTATGTTACTATGGCTTTGAGTTTGAAGTTTGGTATTGATATTCCTCCACCACGGTTCTTCTTGCTAAGGATTTTTTTTTTCCTATTACAGGTCTTCTATTATTCCACATGAATTTTTGGTTTACTTCTTCTATTTCATTGAAGATTGATGTTGGGATATTGATGGGCATTGCCTTGAATTTGTAGATGGCCTTTGGCAGTATTATCGTTTTCACAATGTTAATCCTCCCAATCCAGGAGCATGGGAGGTTTTTCCACTTAGATCTGCTTTAATTTCTTTTTTCAAGTTTTTAAAGTTTTCATTATAGAAGTCCTTCACTTCCTTGGTTAATTCCTAGGTTTTCTTTTCTTTTTTTTTTTTTTTTGAGGCTATTTCAAAAGGAATTGCTTTACTGATTTTAGCCTCGCTCTTATTGTTGGCTTACAAAAAAGCCATTGATTTTTGTGGATTAATTTTATGCCCTGTTACTTTGCCAAAGTTTTAGATCAACTCAAGTAACTTGGGAGAAGAGTCTGTGGGGTTCTTTAAATATTGCCATCTGCAAAGAGAAAAAGTTTTATTTCTTTCCCTGTTTGGATCCCCTTTATGTTTGTCTCTTGCCTTGTTGCTTTGGCTAGAAATTCCAATGCTATATTGAAAAGGAGTGGAGAGAGTGGGCATTCTTACCTTGTTTCTGATTTTAGAGTAAATGGCTTTAATTTTCGACCATTAAGTATAAGGCTAGCTGTAGTTTCGTCATATACAGCCTTTATTATATGAGGAATGTTCCATGGATTTCTAGTTTCTCCAGAGCTTTCATGATAAAGGGGTGTTGGATCTTGTCAAATGCTTTTTCTGCATAAACCTATTAATGTGTTGAATTACATTAATTGGCTTGCATATATTGAACCAGTTTTGTATCCCTGGAATGAATCCTATTTGATCATAACATATAATTTTTTTGATTAGTCATTGAAGTCAGTTGGCCAGAATTTTATTGAGAAGTTTTGCATCTATGTTCATCAAAGAAAGTTTTGCATCTATGTTCATCAAAGAAAATGGGACTATAGTTCTCTTCCTTAGATGGTCCCTGTCTGGTTTTGGGATGAGGGTTATGCTGGCTTCATAGAATGAGTTTGATATGTGAACTTCTGCTTTCCATTTCATTGAAGAGTTTGAGGAGTATTGGAGTGAATTTTCCTTTGAAGGCCTTGTAGAATTTGGCTGTGAGTCTGTCTGGTCCTAGGCTTTTCTTGGATGTGAGGTCTTTCATTGCCATTTCTATTTCATTGCTTGATATGTCTATTTTGTTGGTTTAAATCTTCTTGGTTTCATTTGGGTTCATCAATATTTGCTAGAAGTTTTCCCCTTCCAGATTCTCCAGTTTGTTAGCAAAAAGGTTTGCAGTGTATTCCCTTACAATGTTCTGAATCTTACTTGTTTCTGTTGTGATGTTTCCATTCTTGTCTCTGATTTTGTTTATTTGGGTGTCTTCTGTTTTGGATTTTTTTTTTTTTTTTGGGTCAGATTTGCTAAGGGTCTGTCAATTTTGTTTTTTCGAAGAACCAACTCATTGTCTTGTTGGCTCTTTTGGGGTTTTTTTTTTGGACTGTAATTCATTTAATTCTGATTTAATTTTTATTATGTGTCTACTGGATTGGGGTTTGGCTTGTTGCGCTTTTTCGAGGAGCTTAAAGTTCATCATTAAATTATTGGTTTGAGATTTCTCCCATTTGTTGATGTAGGCACTCAAGAGCTATAAATTTTCCCCTGAGTTATGTCTTTGCTGTGTCCCAGAGGAGTTGGTATTTTGTGTGGTCATTTTTGTTAAATACCATAAATGTTTGAATTTCAATTCTGTTCTCTTCAGTGACCCACTGGTGATCCAACAATATGTTGTTCAGTCTTCATGAGTTGTAAGATTTTCTATGGTGGCTTTGGTATTGAGCTCTAATTTTATTCTGTTATGGTCTGAGAGAATGCGGGGAATAGTTTCAATATTTCTGAATTTGTACAGATTGCTTTGTGCCCTAAAGTGTTACCTATTTTGGAGAATGATCCATGTACTGCCGAGAAGAATGTGTATTCTGGTGTTGCTGGGTAGAATATTCTATAGATGCCTTTTTTTTATTGTGAACATACTGTACAGAGGGGTTACAATTACATGGGCAAGATAATGAGTACATTTCTTGTCAAGCATTGCAGCCTCCTCCTTTGTTTACCCTTCACATCCCTTCCCAGCCTCTCCCACCCCCCTCAACTCTGCTCCCCCCACCAAAGTTGTAAAGTTCGTTTTCGACATAACTTGTACTTCTCATTGTTGCAACGGGTCCACCTGTATCCTTAAACGACTTGTTTTTCCCCTTCTCCTCCACAAATTATACCGACATCTATAGATGTCTTTTAAGTCTAGTTGCTATGCAGTTAATTGGTTCTGAAGCTTCTATGTTGAGTTATTGCCATGTTGATCTATAAGGTGCAGGTTCCTGAGCTTTAAGAAAAGCATAACATTTTTCATAGTGAAATCAATTTTTTTCTTTGTTTTGTATGTTTGTAGACTAATAGTATAGAGTTAAACATGGGATCTTGAAATTTTTGCTTGGCTGTTTTGGTCACAGCTAATACACTGTGACTTGAACGACCCCTTAGTATAAAAGCATTTTTTGCTGGTTCATTGAAAGTGAGTCTGTTGTTCTTTTTTTCTACCCTGGCTTAAGTCAAACTGTGATCCTCTGATCTCAACCTTTTGAGAAGTTAGTATTACTGGACTGGGCTTCTAATGCCCTGTTCGTAAGAAATCCACTTTTTTTTTTTTGGGTCTGGTCATGGGGCCTGAACTCTGGGCCTGGGCTCTGTCCCTCAGCTCTTCAGCTCAAGGCTAGTGCTCTACCACTTGAGCCACAGCGCCACTTCCGGCTTTTTTCTTTTTGCTTATGTGGTGCTGAGGAAT